AGTAAGTACCTATAAAGTCAACTGTCTACGAGAGACTTGACGAAGAGTAAGTGTGAGGCAATGCAAGCATGTCTGACCTTCCAATTTGTGGCACTCACTACTAGATTGACCTGTGTGTATAATTGTACTGTATTTCATATTGTACTTGTTGTGTACAATAAACCTTTCTTTTAGTATCCACCTGGCGTTATGTATTTATTCCCTTAGCACAGAATATAACAATATATATATATACTTGTGTGTGTGATATATATATATATATATATATATATACAGTGGTATACAATTGTATTTTTATAAATGTAAAAGTCTTAACTAAAACAAATTTTGATACATTTTATGTGTAAAGATACATTTTATTAAAAAATAGTAATAAACTTAATTCATTCTTATTCTAACAGAAATTAATGCCTTTTTTTCATTTTAACTGATGAAAAAAGTATTCGTACAAACCAAAAAAAGCATATTAATTTAATACTTTGTGGAATATCCTTTATTGAGTTCAACAGCTACCAGTCTATTTCTGTAGGTCTCAACTAATGATTTGCACACATTGAGTGGTATTTTGTCCCATTCTTCTTGGCATATTGTCTTCAAATTCTTGATATTTGTTGGTGCTCCTTTCCCAGTTTGAATTTTCAAATATCGCCATAAATTCTAATTGGGTTCAAGTCTGGATTGCAAGACATCAACGTTACTTTCAGCTAACCATTTCCTTGTAGATCTAGCAATATGCTTAGGATCATTATCCAGTTGGAAAACCCAATCAGGAGGTAGCCGAAGTCTCTCAACAGAATGCATTAAATTGTCTTGCATAATTTTCATCATCTTGCCATCTATTATTGATATTCTGCTAACACCTTTTGCAGAAAAACAGCCCCAGATCATGATAGTGCCACGACCAAACTTTACAGTTGGCAACGTGTTCTTTGGTAAGTAGGCTTCACCGTCCTTCCTCCACACATGATTTCGATAATTATGACCAAACAACTCTATTTTAATTTCATCTGTCCATAGTACTTTTTTCCAAAACAAACATTCTTTATCCTTATACTCTCTAATGAATTTTAGCCTAGCATCTCTGTGTCATTTCAAGAGGAGTGGAGTCTTCCTTGGGATGCGTGATTTCAGACTGTTTTTGTGTAGTTCATTACTTATTGTACACTTGGTTTCTTTAATCCCTAATGCACGCAGATGTTCCTGCAGCTCTTCTTGGGTAACCTGTGGATTTTGTTGGATCTGGCGTCCTAATATCCTTGCTGATCTTAGAGAAATCTTCCTCGGAGCACCTGTTTTCGACACTGTTACGAGTTTTAAACCTTGCAAAGATTGAAGCAATTGTAGTAAAAGGAATATTCAGGTTGTTAGAAATCGTTCTGTAACTGTTCCCATCTTTCCAAAGAGACAAAATGTGTTGTTTTTGTGAAATAGTCAATTTTTTACCTTTAGGCATTATTAGAACCTTCTCATAAGACTAGAAATTGCAGAATGCTCTGTTAATGGCTAATAGCATTAACTATAATTACTGATAACATTACTGGAACATTTTGAATATACTTTTTTCATAATTAATTGATTATTTTATTCTAATAACTGATTTGTATGAATACTTTTTTCACCTTTTAGAATTTAAAAAATGCATTAATTTCTGTTAGAATAAGAATTAATTAAGTTTATTATCATTTTTTAATAGTATGTATCTTTATACATAAGATGTGCCGAGATTTGTTTTATTTAAGGTTTTTACATTTATAAAAATACAATTTTTCAAGTGTACGAATATTTATTTCCCCCCACTCACTTTATATATATATATATATATATATATATATATATATATATATATATATATATACACACACACACAAATGAAAGAAAGAACACATGGATTAAAAATTCACAGTTCATAGCATTTATTTTTTTAAAAAGTGCTCAATACAAAATAGAGCAAAATATTACTATAATATTTTTATTATAATGAATTACAGTAAAAACATTTCACATCGCTACACAAAAACCTTCATGTTTCAGTACTAAGATGGTACTTCTTCAGGTATTTGTAGATAACTTGTGATAAAAATGATTTAATTCAAAAACAAATCTTTACCTGTTTTTGTAAGTTAATTCTGACCTTATGCCCACCCCTACTTTAAGTTCTAATCATTTGGTCGTGTGCCCATATGTATAAATATTAATATTAGGTGAGTTCATCTCAGGCTATGTAGATGTCACTCTCACTCCTCTACTGGCTAACCTCCCTTGTTCTATCAAAGACACAATGTATTTTTGAAGTCTTTACAGAATATCAAACAATTGCTCAATAATTCACTAAAATCAAGATAGGTGTAATAATCCCTATACTCCATATGAGGAGGTTGTCCTTGGCTACAAATGATTGCTGCTCGCATTTTCCGAACTGAAATTGAACAAATACTTTCTGAGATAATTCTGTATGTAATAAGCCATGATGCCAAATCTGTAAGCACAATGATACAACTTGTATTCCTCCAGTTACAGAAGTTCAAATTCACCCTCCTCACCTAATATCTGACAACATATCTGAGTTTTTTTGGCATCACTATAATTTTTATCTAGTAGTTATTATGTAGTTGTATTGTATAGGAGGCACAGTGGAGTAGTGGATAGTAGCTCAGATTGAGCCGGGTTCAAATTCCAGTCAAATCCATTACATTCACTTGTGTGCTAATACCCTTGGGAAAGGTGTTAATCCTCTTCTCCCTCCAGCTATGGGTAAATAGCAGGACAAGACTGGGTTCTATAGCCTTGGATGGTAACTGGTGTAGGAGAAGGACAATTCTGAATTCAAAACAGGCGAAGGGTTGTTTGGGGACCTTGTGGCATGTAGTGCACCAGGTCTCTGTATTTGCCCCTTCAAAAAGTGTGGTTGGTTCTGCACAAAGTCTTCACCATTATAATCAAATCATCTGTGCTGGTGTCTAGGCTGTCTGTTCCTAGGAACTGAGCTGCTCGACCCTCATACATCGAATTCAATGGGAGAGTCCTCTATTGTGTAGTTGAATTCCGTAAAATGGTTTAATGGTGATTTTTTTTGTTATTATTACTTGCATTATTTTTAAGATTTACTTTTTATGACACAAACCAACATATGAAGACACAATATTTTAAAAAACAGCACACATGACATTCACAAATACCTGAAGACCAGAAACTTGAAAACTACCACAAAAAACACAATGCATACATATAGACACAATTCTATCAACAAAAAGGAAAACTCTTCAATAAAAGCTTACAGAAGACATGAGACAATTTATGTTTAAATTTTCCCTGGAAATCAGAAAAATGGTCCAAACTGTAGAAAACTTAAATAAAAAAAATAACCAAAAAATTTTTATTGGTCTGTATAAATTTAAAATAACTGATAAGATATAATATACACACACACACACACACACACACACACACACACACATATATATATATATATATATATATATATATATATATATATATATATATATATATATATATGTATGTATATATATATAGAGAGAGATATATATGTGTGTGTGTGTATGTGTGTGTGTGTGTGTGTATTCATCTACATAAAAAATCTGTGTAGAAAATCACATGTAATGGCATTGATATTGATTTTTCTTCTTGAACAAGATGGAGATTGCTGCAATTTTGTTGTCAGTCTTTTGTATTCTCTATACTCTACTCTGCAAAATATTGGAAATACTTCTTAACTCTCACAAATCTCCACAAACTGATTTGTACACATTGACATCAATTTCTTCTGGTAAGCAATTTAGTTCTCTTTTATATCAGTTTTACCAACTTAAAATGCAGTCTTCCCCACTCATTTCTATTTTATTTAAATAATTTTTGGAGATCAACTACATACACTCTTCCTGACTTTAATCTCTTCCTGAATAAAAAAAAAAAAAATTCTCAATGTGTGTGGATTATCAGACAATAAATACCCAGATTCTTTTTTGCTGGACTTTGCTGATCTTTATGGCATTTTGTGTGAAATGACTTTTGCGGAGTTCTAAAATGGTAGCAGCTCTATAGACTGTTATCTTTATCTTTATTGCTTATAAATATAAGAAAGGTGAAAGAACGCATTGAATTTAACACTCAATCTATTCATTCTCCTTCTATTTTAACTTGTGATTTAAGGTCTTTTCATTATTCCATATTTTCAGTTGTCATGGGATGTATCTAAATATCTTAGATGAGGTATTATCATTTATTGTTAACTACATGTGGATTGGCTCTTCTGCTTTCAATCAAGGCATCACTCATTTTCTCTTTGTAATAAAAGTATAGTATCTGAGCACTGGGAAAAGTCATCCACACTAAATTTATATATATATATATATATATATATATATATATAGAGAGAGAGAGAGAGAGAGAGAAACACAGTACATTTTATACATGTAGATTTCTATCATCCTAATTTTCATTTTCATTGCACTTTATCACAAGTGTCGGATAATTTGGTCTCTCTTTAATCCTAAGTGCTTACACAATACATTAAAGAAAGAATGAAAGAAATACTAGTCAAATATGAATAATAACTGACAATGCTTTGTCAAAGAAGTTTTTATTGCACCTAGTACTATTTATGGAATGTGAAGGTAGGGGCAAAATGGCATTTGGAAAAGTCAGGAATTTAGCTATATAGCTAAATTTGGATGACTCCTGATGGTTGGCCTTCATAGTCTAAACTGTAAGACTGTGTCTATGGAAAAATGGATTTTCATAGATAAGAAATATGAATTTGAATCTTGGAGTTACAATAACAAGCAAAAGAAGTTTGGATGTCAATATATTCTACAGCATCCTAAGTACTGTTTGAACCTCTGAGATAAAATGTTTTCATTATTCCACAAATTTTTAGACTATTGTCTTCAATGTTTTTGCTTTTAACATTTTGGCCAACATTTGGTTTGGTTTGTTTTGTTTTATGGCATATCAGTCTCAATGGGTTATTTAATGCCAACAAGATTTTTATTACTGGTTATATTTTTTTATCTATCTATCTATCTATCTATCTATCTATCTATCTATCTATCTATTGGTTTGGTTTGTTTTGTTTTATGGCATATCAGTCTCAATGGGTTATTTAATGCCAACAAGATTTTTATTACTGGTTATATTTTTTTATCTATCTATCTATCTATCTATCTATCTATCTATCTATCTATCTATCTATCTATTGGTTTGGTTTGTTTTGTTTTATGGCATATCAGTCTCAATGGGTTATTTAATGCCAACAAGATTTTTATTACTGGTTATATTTTTTTATCTATCTATCTATCTATCTATCTATCTATCTATCTATTGGTTTGGTTTGTTTTGTTTTATGGCATATCAATCTCAATGGATTATTTAATGCCGACAAGTTTTTTATTGCTGGTTATATCTTTTATCTATCTATCTATCTATCTATCTATCTATCTATCTATCTATCTATCTATCTATTGGTTTGTTTTGTTTTGTTTTACAGCATATCAATCTCAATGGCTTATTTAATGCCAACAAGATTTTTATTGCTAGTAATATGGTTTTTTTTTTTCAAAAATGTATTGCTGGTAATAATTTTTTCTTCAAAAATTTATTGTTGGCAATTTTTTTTACAAAAACGTATTGCTGGTATTTTTACATTTTCATAGTGTTTTGATCCCAGCTTGGGGGTTAACTATTGGCCCATAGCTGGGACCCTAACAGGTGCTACCACCCCGGATCAAGGTGGACCTGAGAACACCAGAAATCAGAGGCCTTGCTGTTGGATGTAGTTTATCATCTTACCCAGGATGGCAACATATATTTCAGTCTTCCTATACTTTTGAAACGTCTGAAGCATGATTACTGCAAAATAATTGACATGTGTCATTAAATCTGACAGAATTTCAGGTGATAATTCTGATTAAATCTGATATCAAATTTCAGTTAACAAAGGAAAGCTAATGAATTATCTATCAATGTTTTAGGACTAAAAACAATAAAGATGGAGATGCTAGTTCAAATAATATATGGAATGAATAATAATGCAATGAGTTGTGGTTGGCAGATGTAAATTTTTATAATGGTGGATAGGATCCAGACTTAAACTTAACAATTAAAATGATTTCAGCAAGAGGTATTTAACAGAAAGTATTTGACAGAAAGTATTTAACAGAAAGTATTTGACAGAAAGTAACTTACTATTTGGATACAAGCATAGATGCATATTACTTCTTATTACAAACATTATTTTTAGTGAGTATATCTGTTTGTTTTATTCCTGTTATTTTATTTTATTTTATTAAACAGTGAGCTCAAATGCATGTACATCTGTTTGAGTTCACATGTAAGAAATAATGTCAGATAAAACTCCTTTAAAATATATATATATATATATATATATATATATATATATTATTGAGGCATGTGTTATTAAAGACTATGGAACTTTTCTGTTTAATAATCTTTCTTTCATTTTTTTTTTTTTTTTTGCTTTCTCACAAGTTTCTTTATATTTGGGGCTAAGAAAAAAGACCCAGTCCTTTGTTTGTTTTTTTTGCTGAGTGCTTTTGGCTTTTTGCTCAACCATCATCATATGTATATTTTAGTTTGAAGTAGGTTGCTTTTTATTTTTATAGATAATATTTTGGGGGTAATCAGGTAGTGTTGTTCGATTAGTTTTTTAGCAATTTGGAGGGGGTTGGTATTTATTATTTTGAGCATAAGTTATTAAATATGCTTAAGATGTTTCTGCCAGTATTAAATTCTGTTTTATTTATTTTGGGTTTTTGGCTTTTAATTATGATGGCTTCAAGATTACCTCAATAATGACATGCTGCCAAAATACACACACACACACACACACACACACACACACACACACATACATACACATATATATATATATATATAATGAAATATAGTTTTAAGGTATGCTATATTTATGGAATAAAGTGCTCAGTATCAGAGAAAGAGCATATGTAAATATAAAAGTGAACATTGAAGTCAACACTCAAAGGCGACAGACTGTTTCATGCTAAACGCAATCAGCAAGCCTGATGATCGTGCTTAGCATGAAACAGTCTCTCACCTCTGAGTGTTGATGTCAATGTTCACTTTTATATATATATATATATATATATATATATATATATATATATATATATATATATATATATATTAAATAAAGTATATTTAGGCAGCAAGTATTCATCCAGATTAGTTTTTTATTAAATACAACTGACAATGTCCATCTATTTCACTTTTTATTTTATTTTTATTTTTCTATTTTTACTTTATTATTTTTATTTTATTTTATTTTTTTTTATTTTTTTTATTTTTGAATAATATGTTGTATATCAGAATTGAAATTGTGGATAAAACTGAAGTTCCTTCTGTTGTTTTTGTTCATATACTTTTAAATATCACACAACCATATGCTGTCAGTGTGGTAGACAAGATTCTGTTGGCTACATTTGAACATCTGAAGGTGTTTTTATTATTCTCTATATATTTTGGGTCTGTTATCTTCATTTTTGTTATTTGGAACACCTTGCAGTCAGTACTGTGGACCATTTTCAGAGGTACATTGCATTTGGATGTCTTTAGTATTCATTTTTTTGGTTTTACATTTGCTCAATTTAATCATTACAAAAAGCCAGATTCTGTGATAAGAATCAATAAATTTCTTGTAGTCTTGAATGAACTCATGTTAAGGCTGCTAACATGAGACCTTATCACTCAGATCTGTGATTCTATTACATTCTGATGTTTTTGGCGAAGATAAAAAGTAAAATGATGAAGTAAGAAAAAATCACCAAATTCTATATTAATCTGGAGAGCAACAGACCAAAATTTATTAAAGCAACAATAAAAATTTAGAATAATATAAGGAATAATAAATATATTGATGTAATGGAATAACCTGTCTCCCAATGAGTGACTACACAACCTATAAGTATCTGTATGTCAACAGACTACAGAGACTAGCTGGGATCTTTTCCAGTTAGACAGTCAAACTCTCTGCCTTCAAGCAGAGAGGAACCTGGACGAGGCTCTGCCAAAGGGCAGAGACTCATTCGGGGAGGTTGACCAAGCCAATCCCATTTATGCGGGTTCTATGAGCATTTTTTGGCTAAGCCTATGGGCTCAGAACACCCACGTTAAACCCAGCCTTGTGCCACATCTACCCTTGTGGGGGTGCTAGTAAATACCGACTAGCTGGGATCTGCTCCAGCTGGACAGTCAAACTCTCTGCCTTCAGGCAGAGAGGAACTCAGACGAGGCTCTGCAAAAGGGCAGTCTCGTTCGGGGAGGTAGACTGACCCTGAACCCGTTTATACAGGTTCGAAAGGGAATATTTTTGGCCAAGCCTATGGGCTCGGAAGACCCATATAAAATTCGGCCTTGTGCCACATCTACCCTTGTGGGGTGGGGGCTAGTACATATTGACTAGCTGTGATCTGTTCCAGCTAGACGGTCGAACTCTCTGCCTTCGGGCAGAGAGGAACCAGGACAAGGCTATGCCGAAGTGCAGAATCAATTCAGGGAGGTAGACCAACCCAATCCCCTTTATGTGGGGTTATGGGAATTTTTGGCCAAGTCTACAGGCTTGGATTGCCACACATTAAATTTTGCCTTGTGCCACATCCTACCTGGTAAATATTGTCTAGCTGGGATCTGTTGAGTACAACTCGGACTTATGCAAGAACTACTGACCTTCCAATAGTAGTGCTCACTACTGGATTGACTTGCGACAACCTTGTGCATAACTGTTACCTTTATTCTTATTGTACTGGTTGTTTACAATAAACCTTTACTTAATTTATCCACCTTGTTTTTCAAATATATATTCCTATTAGCACAGAATATAATACATATATAATTCCAAAACTTCAGCCATAGTGGAAGCCCAGAATATATTTCAGTAGAAAGACATTGTTAAAACCAAAAAACAAAAATCAAGAAAAGGTGTGGAATATAATATGTCAAATTTTAATATGTAAATCGATATTTTCACAATATAATTGATATTAACTAACCAATGTGTGTAACATTTTCATGATCTACTTATATGATAAGTATACCATATGTATTTCAGCTTATAATATCTGCTTTTATTAGAAATATTTACAGTTCATTATTTAGTGTTATCAGATTTTATTATGAAACATTAATGTTGTTCATCATTTTGTAAATAAATGTATATAATCATGTAGTTTTCGAGATTTAGTTTTAAACTTCAGATATATAAAGATTATCATGGGTTGTAAAAAATGTATATTGCATAAAAGATATTATGAACTTATTGAGTGATGAGAATGCAAATATGAAAATTGTGAAAACACAGAACAATAAAAAATCTGAACTTTTATCATGGTACAATAAAAAATTGAAAATATTGCTAAAATAAGAAAAAGAAAAAGTCTTAGAATGTAATAAAAAGAGATTTAAGAATAATTAAATGATAATAAGTAAAAAAATAATGCTTTTGGTTAGTATTGTAGTCAGTAAAATTATAGGTACCTTCAAAGTTGATAGATGGTTTTTTGAGGAGTACAGCTTACAACCCCCAAAAATTAAGCTAATGAATAAATTCATACAAACAATGCTCGTTCACATTCTGAAAAGGTAACTATTGTCTACCTTGTCAAAAAACAGTTTGAAAGTCACCTAATTAATGTAAGGGCTCCTAGACTTTACAGATATTAATCTAATTGGACATTTATAGTCCATCATTAAAAGTGGCATATAAGAGAATAGAAAACAATATTCAAGCAATTCTGGGATAGAATAAAGCCTACAACAAGTAATATAAAATTGAAACAGGAGGAAAATTAACAAAATCAATGAATGAAAGAATGATGAAGATTACAGAAAATCAAGGAGGCAATATTAACTTGTAAAATAATAAAATATTCCTTTATTTAAGTTTATGGGATATTGTGCTGATAAAATGTGTTTTTATAGTGAAAAAATTTTATTTATAAATAAATTTATATAAATAAATATAAACTTATAAATATAATTATATATATAATATATAATCTATAAATATTATATATATATTATACATTATATGTTAAATATATTATATATAATATATAATATAATAATAATATAATAACATAATATATAATAGTATATAATATAATATATATATAATTGTTGTGATATGATCCACCTAATTTACATAGTGGAGTACCGACCATATAAATATGGGTTGGTACCGGGAAGACGAGGGGGGGAAGTAACAAGAGATCCAATCCAGAGACTCTGCCCGACTGCGATTAAGTCAACCCATTCTACAGGAACAGTCTTCCCAAGAATATACCAAAACTAACTGTAAATATTGTGTACCTTTTCCTTGTTTCAATACATTTTGTTTACGTACATTTTGTGTTGTATTATTATTATTCCATGCTTATCCAAGCTTCAACAATAATATATAAATATTAAATATAATATATAATATATAAAT